TACTTTCATGCAAAGCACATTTATAAATATGCATAGGGTGACGAGATATTTAGAGTGAAGAAGAAATTTTATTTATATGTTTTGATATTCGGGTACCGTTACTATATCCCAAATTCATTTTTGTAAGTTTTTATATATTTTTTTGATGCCACTTTTCGCTTTTTAAAAAATTTATATGACCAACTCTCTAACGAGTCATAAATAGCAATTGCGTAAAGCACTAGGAATTCAGTCAGTAGTTCTCAATTCCATATTTTGATGTCTCAAACATCTCGATTTGAAAAGAATATATGTCTACTTATTCCTTGAAAGGAATGTAAACATTTTACATTCCAGATTTTGAGGTCATTTATCGGTTTCACACACTTGTGACTTGTGCGCTGGCTCAGATGATGCGATAGAGCGAGAGCGATCAATTTCTCGAAATAACACACTAAAACTGAATATACAATTTATAGTCTTGGATGAATATAGCTCACCCATAATTCCAAAATTGGTCTCTCATTAATTTCTTTTAGATGATAAACTGAAAATTAGCCGCTCTAATCATTTAATGATCTTAAATAAAATACGAGGAGGTTTAATCAATTTTGGGGATTATTCAACTATGACGTCTATTGAAAAATGAATTTCCAGTCCCCATTGTAGCTTTTTATTTCAATTAGGGGGTCTGAAAATCTCAGACTCCTCTACAATAGACATCATTGGTGAAGGCCTCCTTATATTCGTCTCGTTTAATGGATAGCTCAGCTTGCACAGTTACAGTCAATTACTCATCATCGTAAACATCATTATTTTTAATACTTATTATCAAAATATGTTCAGCAATAAAGAAAGATACATAAAAAGCAATAATAGTCAAATATTTGATGATTGAAATGTCTTTAAGGTCCCAAATTACGCATTTTGTACAAGTAAACGTATCATTATTTGTTTATGATGATTAAGTTATTGTTTAAAATATTCAATTACTGTAACTCTTTCTCTTTAAATGCTCTTTTATGTTTATTAACACAGATGATTGGGATCATTGAAGTGAAATTTACCGGATTATTGTAATGCGGATGCTTTAGTTTGTTATTTCAATGGGGAAAATCCACGAACGAACTCAATTCAGGCTGTTTAACATTGAATTTCCTGATGACTACTGAACTGATTCTTTTATATCCTTCTTAGATGACTTTTGCCATTTCATTTGAATGACTTGAGTTGGCAATAGTTATGATGAGCGATAAATATGAAGCTTAGTCAGGCAATGTTGATTTATATTGAGGCATTTGGCAATTTTATTATTATTTCTTCTGAAAAGCAATCTGTATACACATAATTAAAATTACATGATATGGAAAAATGAATTTCCGAAATAACAGACAATTTGCTAACATTGATTTGATTCCGATCGGCACAAATGATTTTCATACGGATGAACAAGTAAACAGTAAAATCATAACCATGTTTCAGCAACTTGCAAGCTTTGTAGACCTCAGGTAATGAAGAAAATGAATAATCTTCAGTTGTAGCTATAATTCATAGATTTACCCACTTACAGATGTTACTTACTATTGACATATCACACGTACAAGCTCACTTGAATGAAAGTAAAATTGTTGAGGAATTAAGAAAATTTAATTTATTTTTAATTAATTCTGGAAGTTTTTAATGAAAATAATTTTATTTTCCCGTGTCATTTACAGTTGGATAGCTTTTTCATGTGCAAAAAAGTTCTGACATTTAAAAACTGAAGAAAAAAATTAAAACTTATTCTATTCAGAAACTATGAACATTGTTTTCATGCTCCAGAAAACCCACAGGAAGGTTTTAAAATGTTTCGACAATGCATGCAAATGAGTTTTTTGCTTAAGGATATTTTTTTTTTCATCTTTTAATTATTTCATGGCATGTGGAAAATTCACAATGAAAAGTTTATTAGCCATGAAATTTTTGTTAAAAGCTTGTACAAAAACCACTTGATGCAGATCTTGAATAGTTCCTAGGAAAAATAATTGCTCATTATTAACATTATTTTGGTAATCAAGTGAAAGGGTGCCAGTGAAGCAATGTGTTCCTACACGTTGCAATGATCTTAAGGCATCTCGATGATAGATTCTGTATTATTTTGATAGCGAACTGAAATATTTTTAAAAATAAAATTACATATTTCACGGAATCAATTATCACGCGTAACAAAAGAAAATTTTTTAAATTTTCACAAAGTTTCCATTAGTAAAAGCTTCAAAAGCTTCAGTTATAGCTTTTTTTGCAAGCATTTACATTTTGAAATTCGGAATATTTACCTTGATTTATAAATAAAAGAGGCAACATTGATATTTCCAGGTAAAATTGATCAGCATAAAATTTTGGATGAATGCAGCAGCTTTCGATGTAGACCTTTATAGATATAGATGCATCAAAATGAATGAGGATTATAAACAAAATTTTCTTGGGAATGTTCTCAATACAAATATTTAATTACCATTCATGTCGTTTAATAACTGCAATAGAGTCGGAAACTGAGGAAATTTTTAAGTTAAATCAAATTCATTTTTCAACAAATTTAACATTTAATTTATAATTCAATTTAATATTCTTTTGTTGCCTCAAGTTTTTGATTGTCGAGCATATCAAATTTCACAGAATTGTTCAAAGTTTTTGAAATTAAAAATGTTCAATGTGACTGAAAGTCAAACTAGGGGAATAGATTACAAATATCGAGCTACTAGTATTTTATCTTAATTGTCCAACCCGGAAAGCACAAGTCGGTTAATCGATCAGATATCCGACGCTATACCGTGAAGCCGAATTTAAATTGAATCCAGCTCCATGCCAGAGCTTTTGACATCAGATTTCTGCTCGATCAAAAGACTTGTGCTATTCGGGTAAGCAACAAATCATAATTAAAGGCAGATATATAGATTCGATCTGTTAATCATTCAAAAAGCAGCTTTTATGTCGCTCTGGGATTATTACAAATTATTAATCACTTAAATAAAATGCATGTGTGCTGTAAATAATCCAAGGACATGCGTCAAAGCTTATCGAAAAAATAAAAATTCACTGAAACCTTTGAAAGAGCACACAGACAATATTCCCTGAAATAAAATGCTCAATAAATCAAACAGCAGATTAATAGATAGTAGCTATTTGGATACTATTTGTAAATATTCGCAGAATACTTCCATATTTTGCACTATCAATCGTTGTAATTTACACTAAAACAGGTTAAATAATTTCCAAAAAAAATTCCATATTAGCAGCACAAATTCTGCTCGGTTGAGCGAGAAGTGAAAATCAATCAATTACTGTTAGATAAATACATAATCGCCTTCAAAAATCAATCGAAAGTTGTAACTGCAAAAAAGATGTATTGATTTTGAGTGCTGAAAAAAAAATTTTTTTTTGTTCCGCAAATTAAAGAGTTTTAAGCTTTCACGAAATAAGAGGAAAATAAAAAGATCTTTCGGCAGTTATAATAAACGGCACATTGTGGAGTACATTTTCATTTCATTGAAAATATATTCATACCTATATACAACTACTTAATACCAACAAGCGTATGTATGCGTGGAGAAATTTCATTAAGAAATTCACAACTACATCTTACAGATAAATTGTAAATGTTCGTTGATGTTGGTCTGATTGCAATGATCACAACACAATGTCATGGTCATCTATACCTACCTCTCCGCTGCTTTCTCGAAAGCTGTCTTGTATACTTATATTGAAACGGAACACTCCGCTAACTTGTTTCTTGTTTCTTCTTTCCATTCATTTCTTCGTAAACACACAAGAGTCAATGCTGAATAGCAAGATGATTGTTCAAAAAGAAGAAGAAGAAAGAACCGGAGAGAAGAAAGTAATGAAAACACGGTGTAATAAAAAGACCTTGGTTTGGTCAGTAACCTAGTGGTCTACTTTTCTTCCTCATTCGCTTGCTTATTCGTATGCGCACCGGGAGATTTAAGGTAGACCGTTGTATAAGTGACGTAAACTGTTTCCAATTTTTAATTTTATTTTTTTTTTTGACAATCACCTGCGAAAAATTTTGTTTCTTGACTAAATTAAGATTTTATCATGTCTTCTTGCTAGTTCAAATATCCATTAATGGAACCATACACAACAGAAGGTAGATCGGCAATAAAAATGAAATCTGTCGTTTGCTTTTCGCACACGTCAATATTTGTCTAGTTTCTGTTATGAGTAAATAATACTTTAGATGCATACTCCTTGTTAATCTACACGCTTCCCATCTCATTTGAATCATTTTAAAAAAAAATGATCGAAAAGAAATTTCACTTTAAAATAAGAAATGAAATAAAAAAGAATTGACACATATTTGCCGTCATGTGTGTGTCGTTTCTTTACAGCCTGACTAAAACCTGTTTTATTGTTGTTGAAGAATTAAGTTTTTTTTCTTTCTTGATATTCATTCACTTTGACTCTCTTTTTCATATCATATTATTCATATGTTGGTATATAAATTTCTTGAATGAGATTTCCGTAAAGGGGGTCGTTCGTAAGTGATGTTGGTAATTTTTGAAAATTTTTTGGAACACTCTATGTCCTTTTGTTTCTTCTGCATAAGGACGTATCAACTAATTGATAATCTAGGATCGAATCAGCATGCTTTATACTCAATTCTAACTTGTCTTGTGAGTCCTGCATTATTCACATAGTCAAATTGTATTTAAGGCAGGTGAAGCAGAATTTTAGACATGCAGAAAACTATGACTCTATATGTGACGTCACTTATTCCCAACCCACATTTAATGAAAATAAATTTGTTGATGCGACAAAGTGGAATGTTGTGTGTGGAATCAACTATAAAGAAGAAGTTGTAAAGATTTTTTTTAATGAAAAGAAAGTGGACATGATTATGAGACCTTCGTAATGGTCAACATTAATTAATAAAAAGTAATCATGAAATTCATTTCTTATTATTCATTTATTTGCTTCTTTTTTTGGGTTGCAAAAAAACTTTTTTTTTCATGATTTTTTTTTTTCGTCTTGCAAGTTCGAAATAGGACAGAACAGCAGAAGGACAATAGGAACAAGGTGGGCAAAATAAATTAAATTAAATAAATTAATACATAGGAGGTACACAAAACAATAAATTACTATCATAAATTACATCAATTTCAGTTTCATCATTGGATGTCATAACCTCTGTAAGGAAGTGGCGCATGGTGTCTTTCTTCTTTTGTAACAAATCGTCGTCTTCTATGATGATCACCACCGCCGGCATTTACCTGGAAAGCAATAACAAATGTGTTGTAAAAAATATTTGCAATGAAAAGGAAAAGACGAGACGAATTCTTTATATTGGATGGGATTAATGTGAAGTTGATATGAAATTTTGGAGTCAGTTTGGGAGGCTTACATGTGAGATGCTTTCTTTTGATAAGCCTGGTGACTGCTGTGTGAGAAAATTTCAAGTTTTATTAATCAACTTCAATTTTAGGGAGGCTAATTAATATTATTGACCACATTTCTTTGTATTGAGGATCGTTTATAAGAATATGCAGAATACCACAAAGGTAAATAACACCACAGGAGTGTCAAAATCGTACTGGTGAAGCCTGTATTAGGACCATTTCAGTCTTTAACAAGATTATTTTGGAATTTGATGGAAATCTCAACTTCAAAAGCCAAGAATGTTTATACTCAGCATTGTATAGTTGAAAATCAGTGAATTAATTTACAATTAAGTTAAAACTATGCAGGCTGATTTAGAAATTAGGACATCTTATGGATACTTAATTTTCAATGACTGGCTTATCATTTGGATACTACGGCAAGGGCAGAACTTCCAAAGAGAGAAAAGAAAGAGGTTAAAATCCCTTCTATTATCTCCTCCCCTTCTTGCCAACTTCACTGTCAAGATAAACCTTCTTCAAATAATTGAAATCATACCAAGAACTTAGCAAATCACTAAGCAGACATGATAGTAATTTAGTAAATAATTTATGCAATCACTCACTCGAAACAAACTAGTAATTTATGAAATTTTCATTGCTATGAGGCGTAACCACCAACAACTCATCAAAAGCCTTGTAACAATTTAGTAGACTAGATATGAAATTAATCTTGTGGCTGGAAACATTCTGAAGATCACTCAACTAAACTCTTTGACTACTCAAGCAGATTAAAAATCTCAAAACAACTTCACACGAGTGTCAGAGCATTACTCTCGACCTTTTTTTATGGCAATATTTAATGGAAAAATGGCAAAGTAATGAAGATTGAAATAGAAAGAGTATAAAATTTATGGAATGAAAAAGAAATTAATAAATTTTCTAATTCGAGACTAAATTGGGTGAAAAAAAAAGGTTAATGCTTAATAAACATTATTTATCTCATATTCCGAATCAAATAACTCGGATAATGAGTTAAGCGGTTACTTTTTTGGAATTTTTTTTTTCATAATTATTTCTCGCATACTTTTCAGCACTCATCGCTACTTAATAATTGAGAGCATCTAGAGCAAATAATGAATACATACATAATGAACGGAATGACCTCCATCTCCGCCACCTTCAGCTAATTTTTTCAATCCAACAATTCCAGCAAGCATAAGTGCCATCATTGAAACACCAAGCGCTTTAGCTGCAAGAGCACCAACACCTCCGAGACCCATTGTTGCCATCATTTTGCCTGATAAAAAATTAAAAATAAATATAAAATTAAATGATGCATGATTATTTTATAGCCAGCAGCATATTACCCATCATCAACATTGACATGAGCATCATTCCGCCTCCCTTGTCCTTTTTACGAGCTTCTGTAAATGAAAGAGAAATTTTTCTTTGTTAATTAATTTTTTTTCATGCAGGCATTCATTCATTTGCTTTTAATTAGCATCAACTGGTGAAAAATTTATTTAATTTGACGTTGGTTTATGCCATTATTTCCTCAGATATTTGATGAGATTACTTAACATACTTTTGGAAACGAATTTAATTAAGCAAGTGATAATAATAAGTTATCAAGACGCAAACCAACTGAAAGTCTAAGATAAAGTTTATCTTTTTTTCGAAAAAGAATTGAGGTGCTTTTTGCTTAAGAAGTTGCTTTTCTATGATTGCACTTTTTTCTCTTTCTCTTTTGTTGGAAGCTCTGAAAAGTTTCGTAAAACTTTTTTAATTTCTTCATCTTCACACTTCCTACAAAAATAAGCTTTACTATTTTGTGCAGTAAGTAAAACTTTATTTATCGAAGCAGGAATGGAATTAATAATGAACACAAAAGAGAGAGAGAAAAGTTTTTGTAGCTTGTATATTATTTGGATGTTACTCAATTTACACCAAAACATGTTAAAACTTTTTGGAAATTTTATGAAAAGGGGTTTTGTGGGAAGGTTTTAAAAAAATTGTTTGAAGTGTTGTGAAAAATTTTACATGTGAATTTGCAAGGTTGGAAAAACGAAGAGCTTTTGAAGTAGCTATTGAAGCTTTGAACCACATCAACGCACCTAATTAAGAGTAGTTTTATATATCCTTGTGAACAAAGGAATCGCAAGTTGATTACTAATTTTCTGAATTCACGACTTAAATGACCCCCCCCCCCACCCAGTCAACATTGATAAAGATTGGGGTAAGATCAAACTTATCAAGATCTGCAACATAGATGGAGCATTTAAGCAATTTTTAGTGAAGTCTTTAAATCATCGTCATTTATGGGTGCCCCATTTGTTAGACTTTGAAACAAACTTGAGAAAAACTTTAGCAAATCACTCAACAAAAAAGCATCACTACAATAAAATTTCTAGAAAATTACTAAACTTTTCTCTACGTCACCAAAACCATGTTGACAAAAACAAAATCACTATTTCCTCAAATGTAAAAAAAGTCTTCAATTTTTTATATAAAATTATTCACATTCAGTGTCTATGCTTTGATATTTTGTAACTACATACTTCAAACTTTTTCATCAAACTTGTCATATTTTATTTCGATGAGCTTGAAAGCTTTTTGTGTTGATTTCTTTGAAGTTATTTAATTAAATCAGCAAAGCAATATAAATGCTTTGCAATGAAAAAGTTTGGAGCTATTTATTCTCAAAAATAATAGCAAAAATCTTCACATGGAAGTGTTGAAAAAAATTAAATATTAAAAGAGGAATTTTAGAAAATTTTAAACTGAAGTGGGAATGAAATTTACATCACAAGTCATGCACAGTGCACAGGTGGAGAAAATGGAATCATTTTGCAGTTCATCTTGATTTATGTGGAAGTTGGTTTCTGTTCTATGCCCGAGAAACACAAGATACAGTGCTAGTCATCCTGAGAAACTACAAGGTTTGGTGTTTCTTTGCGATTTGTGCTGCTCGGGTTATAGAAATTTGGAGAATTTTAAAATCTGTATGGCTAAGAAGTCGACAAAGTTTGAATGCTTTCTACAAGACAACTGCTTGGCAAAAGGCATCAACTTCGAAGTGGCTGTCGCTAGGATATAAGCGTATTAAGCGCCAGCCTTCCATGCTGACAACATTTCAATATTTGGTGGTCGGGTGTGTCGCTCGAAAGGCAAGCAACAATCTCGAGCAGTGGTGACACTTATGAATTTAAGTTTGGTTACTGTATATTTAATATGTCATGAGCACTTCTGTGAACTTATATTTCATATTAGACCAGCTTTTTGTTCGTTGCTGACTGACATGGCTTTAAAAACTTCGGATCTCTATATTGACATTTTAGAAAGAAGCTTTAGAAGCTTTCTTGCTAAACACCCAAATGCAAAACAGCATTTCTTGGAATTAAGAATATCTTATTTTAATGGGAAATCTATGGCTAACCGTATAGACTAAGACAACGGAATTTAAGGGATTATGTTGGTAAGTCATTAATATTGTATTTTGTGGTTTTGAAATTTTGTTGATTAAAACAAATTTTTGATATTGATATTAATTGATATTATTAGTATATGTAACGAACGAGAGATGATGTCTGGATTGATCAAATTCCACACATAAATAACAACAACATTAAATTCTTCAGAAAAACTTAGATTTCAAAATTATGAAACTTAATATTCTATTCTATTCCAAAAACAGATGTATGTATGATGTGGATTAAAATTTCAATAAGATTCTTTGCAACCTACATTTGACTGCCTTAACAGCACAAAGATATCCATGACAATACAAAACCTTGTTTATATCTCAATTTATTTCATAAAATCTGATTAGAGAATCCAATTTATTTAGAAAAACAATCAGAATCATATGAAATCTCAGATTAAGCTCACTTACCAATAATTGCAGGATCATCGCTATTGAAGACGTTGTTTACGATTTCTTGCAAATCTGTTTTTCCAACAATATCCGAAAATTTAATTTTCAAATCGTGTGTCTGAAGATATTTTGCGATTCTAACAAAGAATGTATCATTCTTCTCCTCGTCCATTGAGCGTTCGTCATTTTCATGATAAATCTTGTTAAGATTCTCATTCTGTACAAGCTCTAATCCGGGCATTAATCGCAATGTTTCATCATCCTGATTTGCAACGACTTGATTTAATGCTTTAGCAAGGAAGTTTGCACTTTTGCATAAAACTGGATTTTCACTTTTAACACAATCGCTGGTGAGATCGACTGCTTGTGCAGTAAGCACAGTGATACAGAATAAAAGGAAATATTTAAGGATACTATTATCCATGATTGCTAACAATATGCACTCGACTTATTTGGTATATGTCTATAAACACTTTGAATGATGAACGTAAACTGATTTATTTTGGATGAAATGCAGATCAATTTATACGATTCGAAGGCCAATTTTTACTTCTTATTATTGAGACCGAGAAGTTTTTTTTTGCTGTTAAAAAAAAGTAACAAAAAAAAATATTTCTCTTTGGTTGGCATTAAAAAGCAAGAAGAATGATGATAGATAGAAAGAAATGAAATGGATGTAGAGTGTAAGTAAAGGTAAGTACATAAAGAATTAGAGAAACAGCGAATTACGATCTAATCAAGCGAAAAAACTAAACCACGAAAATGAGTTGCTGCCGCTCATTTCTAATGGCACATCAGCCGCATATTGTATCAAATTGGTTTAGAAATATGGAAATCTAGAGAAGAATAAAAAAACATCAATAAATTAGGCCGTACTGTGAGAATACTGTAAATTTCAATTCATTCTTTCTGAATTTTCACTGAAGCAGTCAGTCGGATGAATGAAGAGATTATTGCTGACAGGGGAGCGATCGAAGAACAGGAAATGAAATTCATGATTAGGCACAGGTGTGTAGCCAGGGATGAGGTTTTAAGTGCTAGAATGGAAGAGAAAAGGGGATGACCTAAGGTCAGTTTTCAGAGCTTCCCGGATCACTCAAGGATGAGATTCTATTATATTCAGTATTGGTTAACAATAAATCTTCGAAATCAATTTCAAGGAGGGCGTTTTTCGCTTGGGAACCGTTCGAATATTAATCAAATTGCACCCCTGGTCACATAATTGAAATTCTTAAACCCTGACTCAATAAGAGTAAAAAATAAGAAACAAAGAAGAAATTAGTCGGGTTTAACTGCAAAAAAATTTTAATCTAACACAATTCAAAATTGAAAGCATCCCAAATACGCTCAAAGATGAATAAGCGATGGTGAAGAAAAAAAAGAAGAAGTTCTTTAATAATAAGAATCGAATCAAATTAAAAAGAGTAAAAGTAATTTCATTTCAATTAAGCACTTTTCTTAATTATTTGAATGATATTTAAAATAGCTTTGAGCGGTAAAATTTAATGAGTAGAAGATATAGACCATCCATACCGCCATGTTCAATGCTCAATAATTTTTATTTAGCACACTTTTTGGGGGACTTAAGAATAGTAATTGTTTCCCGTAGAAAACAGCTATTCATTGATGATAATTATTAAAGTTAAATGAATGCTTTACTTCCAAATTTTGATTTTTTTGAAAGCAGACTTTTGCTCACCTCAATTACTGTAATTATCACAATTAGAAAGGATTTTGTTTATGCTCTACAAAATAAAGTAAATAAAATTTTGTACTTTCTATGCTGTCAAGTTGGATACTAAGTGTTAATTTTAATTTTGACAGTAACGCATTTAGAGTTTGGGGATTTAAATATTTATTATTGAGAGTTTAAGGTTTAATTGATAAAAATTGACTTTAAAATTGATCTTCTTTTAACATCGGATATTACAAAATAATCATTATCAAATCCAAAAATTGATTTTTTTTATACTTAGGTTTTTGACCAAAATTTAATTCAACATGCTTCTTTGCCATCTAAATTTTTGAATCATTTCCTCAAATATATTTACATCATTAGTGATTACTCTGCTGCCATCACTCTGAAGTAGAGCCTCCACAAATCACAAAAAAATATATAAAAATTCTCGAAAATAAATTAATTCTTTAACTTTAAACTTACTCAATAGAATTTGAAACTACGAAATTAATGAAATTTCCAAGTCATTCACCTTGATGCTTAAATGCTAATAATATTCTATCAGATAACATGAGTAAGTTGATTTATTTTGAAATATAATTAATTTCGTAATATCATTAATTCTTGAAATTAAAAGCTCGTAATTATAATGATAACAATTATTCATAAGATACTATTAATTTGATAATTCATTTTACGAAATTTTATAATTTTCTAGAAATTCGGCATTAATTATAACTCATTTGTAGAATGAAATTAATGCTTCAGTAATATATTCTTAAGTTCTCATAATTCAAAAAATTTACAAATCATTCTCTTAAATTTAACTTTTAAGAATCTCAGAAAGACTGACAAAAATAGATTTACAATTTATCCAACATTAAAATAAATGCTAAAAGAAATTTAAATGTAAGTCAAATTCTTCCCCCATCACCACTAACAGCCAACTGCTGAGTCAGTATTGTTGATAAATGAAATTGGATAGAAATAAAATTAAGAAGAACGTCTTAATTTTCACCAATTTTTCAATAAAACATTTTTTTAAAAATCGATTGTTTTCGTAATGAAAGCGAATCAAAATATTTTTCATCCATTTACTCCATTGGAGATGGATTTAGAGTCTTGAAAGTCATAACAATTAAGTAATGCTTTCATTGTAATACATGTCATGATTAATGTGGAATTTTGGCGTGGCGCTAGTGTTTTGTTTAGTATGGCATGGTAAGAGTCATCCACTTATGAGGTTTAACAGCTAAAAGTAGGGAGGAAGTCAGATTTTATGAACTTGGAGTTCAATTTAAAGCAAATCTAGTTCAACTCTTTTATTTTTTCAGTAGATATCACTTCCAAACGACCCCACAATCAGAAGCTTTTATTTTTCATGACATTCGTTTTGCTCTTTTTTCATTCTGTGTTTTTCCATCACACGCTTCACACTCGCTCATGCTGTTACTTATGATATTCTCTTCGCTTTTGCCATTATCTCGTAGCTCCATGTCTTCTTTGTTGATTCTCATGTATTACTTTACTTATAATTACCCAATATATAATGGAATTTTTGACAGCTTAGATATTCCAGCAGCTGATGTATATTTTGTCAGCTTCTTCCTTTTAAATTTTCAAGGTTCTTATGAAGTTCAAGGTAACATCAAAAATTGTCTTTTAAAAAGATTCGAGAAAAATCTTTCTATATCTGTCGATTTGTCAATTTCTTGTGAAGGATGATGTATGAGCATATCAATATTGATACGCAAAATGATTTTATGCTTAATAGAATTTTGCGTAAAAGTGCCTGTCAAAAGGTTAGATTGATTTCTCGAGAAGCTATTTGATTGAGAATATGACAAAATCAATTCATTGTCACCGTCAGTGATACGTAAATGGTGACATCTATTTATAATAAAAGTCAACATGAAATTAAGCTAGGTATGAAATGTCAACAAAGTGGGAAGGAGTTGTTGACACAATGTGTCGACATTTTAGAAGTCTAAGTATCGATACAGGAGTTGTCAAGTGATTAGGACTCGTAATGTGATTTCTTAATAATTATTTGTTCTAAAATTGCTTCAAGGAATCGAAAATTGGTATTGATATTGATGGACGAAAGCATTGTTTCAGAATTTAAACCTTAAAGATCATCTTTGCATTTAACAGTTGAAAAGTCCAGAAAATCTTTTTTAATTTCTTAATTTTTTCAAAACAGTTTCACAAATTAATCTAACGAGAACAAGTTGTCAATGACAAAAAACAGCTAGATCCCCCAAAACTTTGATTCTTCACCAAAAAATTCATCAACTATTCAACAGCATGTTTTATTCTACATTTAATTTGAATTTTTTTATGATGATATGCTTCTCACAATTGAATTAAATATTCCACATGCTTTATCACTTCGAAATCTGTACTTGTTTATAATTAAATTTAATACTTCATTATCATGAACACAAAGAGAACAACAGCAGCAAATACTTGAAATAGCTTTTAAAATATTTTGAATTAATTCTTTGTTCTTCTATTTTTCTTTCAGATATCATTTAAACTTGATGGATGTTGTTCTACTTAGTAAGTAACTTGGGATGAAAAATCTTATAGCAGTTGAAGGACAGTTGGAAATGCTGCCATTTCTAGAAGTGAACTTGAAAAAATATAAACTTTTTTGTTTTAAATATTTCAACTGTTAAACTTTGTGAGATTTAATTTAAAAATGGATAAACTTCACAGCAGAGTCGGAATTAGAGGTATTCTAAAAAAAAAGGTTTTACTAATTGAGTTACAAAACGTCTGAGAATGGAGACTAAGAGATCTTGTGATGACAAATACAAAATTTCACGTTGTAAGTTGTCTATTTTGTATTTGGTAAGCTGATTATATGAAGCATGAACCTGTAGCATTATATGAAGATTCTAAAGTAAAATTAGAGACACACAATTTAACTATGGATCGTGGAACTACTTCCGATCCCGATTTACGCAAAAAAAAATTTAATGAGTGCCAAAAAACCTTTCTCAGAGCCAGAATTAATTTGTCCACAAAACATCTCTGAGAACATTAAAAATAATATTTAAAACATAAAAAACTTTTCAGGCATCAAACAAGTTTGATGATATAAACAAATTTATAGCATAAAGCACTGACTATTTCATACACAAAAAAAGCTCAAGAGATTCTCTAAACTTTTTTTTTCAACACTAAATTGTCAATTTCTCCTAGCGTATATGCAAAAGTTTTTAATGAACGCCTAGTGTATATGCCTTAATGTTTGGAACAAATCTTAATGGAACTTTTTATTTAAGTTAATCTGCTTTAAGATTCTCATGGCAATAGAGAACATTTATCATCGCATTCTTGTATTTATGACAATTTTTCGTGCTCCATTATTTCAAAATAAAAAAAAGAAATGTTTTAAAACTTACAGAAAATTCATAAAGGTTAAAAAAGTTTTTATAATTCTGTTAAACAAAACTTTTCCATCAATCGTATTATTATCAAAGTAAATGCATTAGATATAACCTATCCAAATGTAAAAGAAGAACATCCTTTATTTAACTTTCAAAGTCATTTATTTGTCATTTGATCGACTCTCATAATTAAAATTATAAAGTTCTGACATTAACAAAGTTCAATAGAGTTTTCATTTCACGTGAAGTGATAAACAAACTTTGTCATTCATTTACGTCATCAGATATTCATTCAGAATCTTTAAACAATTTTCAATTAGAAAAAGTTTACCAAAGTTTAAAATAATGAAAAGTCAATTATAATTTAAGC